CCCCAAAACCCCAAAACCCCAAAACCCCAAAACCCCAAGATGAAAGATCGAGGCTGAAATAATATTTATGAAAATGAGGAATCTTGTCTTCAAGCTAGTTATTCTTTCCCTAATCTTAGGCTTGGTTGTCCCAAAGTTTGGAGTCCTCAAAAGGTTCAGGAAAGACCCTGACCTGAATCTAGAGAAGACTCAGAAGAAGGCTGACAAGAACTTGAGGATGCTCTTGGTGATGCTGCAGTCTTTCAGACTCATTATGGAAGGGTTCCAAGACTATAGTCTTCCAATACAAGAAATGCTTTCCTTCTCTAATTTGGCCATTGGGGTTGTCCTGAGGTTGTTCAACTGTGAGACTCTCAGTTGAATAACCCCTGAACTTGTCATGCAGAAGTTGTTTTATGAATTCAGAAACTTTGCTCGAGAAGTTATATCAGAGTCTGAATATGGCTATTATATGCTGTTCTATTCGTATGCTCGAAAAGAATTAGGAGTTATTAGCAAGATCATTAGCACAAAGGGTTTTGATGAATTCACACAGAACTCAAATTGCACACGCATGAGAATTGCACAGTACTTCATGCCAACTTTTAAAGGAAATGATACTTCTAATTGCTCTCAATTCGATGATATTATGATTAGTTTTTCAGAACAGCCGACTGATCCTGGAGTAAACTATATACCTTTGCTTATGAAACTGATCATCATCATGATTCTTTCAGTTTCAATTCATATTTCTTCCACCTTACTTCTTCACGAATGGGAGACATATAAACTCCAAAGAAGTTGAGTCCCCACAGTATTAAATACAGAGCTTAGTCTAAAGCCATCTAAACACCCAGATGCAATGATGATACCTTTAAATATCCCAGCGATTTTGGAAGAGTCTCAGGAATCTTCAAGCTCTCCTTCTATTCTCCCATCAAAGCCCGAATTCTCTGTTCAGCCACGTCGATCAAAGATGAGGCCATCCTTGAGTGTCCTAGGCATCCAAAAGTAAGGCTCATAATGGGATTTAAAATTTATTTTCCTCAATGAAAGATATTTAAGCTGGGGTTTTGGGGTTTTGGGGTTTTGGGGTTTTGGGGTTTTGGGG